TTTCTATTTTACAGCCTTTGTCGCAGCACTCGACCTACAATTAATGCCAAGTACGGTCTTACAAGAGCTGGATCGAACAGCGTCCTTTTTGAGATTGTGTTGTTCTTCAAACACACTTGGTTCGCCCAGTTCAAAGTCCTCATCCGAAGCATTGATCCCACTAGTCAATGAACGAGTCAACATCTGGTTGTTCCAATTCTGATCAATGAGTAGTGTTTAACTTCTCGGTATTCTGAGCGATGTGGATAGGCCTGTAGTGACATTTATGTTATGTATGCAAAACAGAAGGCTAATTGGAAATAGGACGTGTACTGAGTACGATTGACAGCACAAGTGAGGAGGCTTGTGGAAACGGCCGGGTATATGGCAAGGGGGACTGTCATAGGCAGATGGGTGGCCAATCAGCACAAAGACGGTGTGAACAGGGGGGCATGACCTTGATCGTTCGTTTGTCACGCGTTTGTGGCATGATGTCCTGACGGCCCGGGCAGGATACGCTGCAATTTAAATCTGTTTTGTTTTAATCAGTTACAATACGCTTTGACACAACTTTGAATAAGACAAAGAACACGCACGTGCACGTTTACCTGCTGACGACTTTGTTCTTATTTACTAGTTTGTAACTGTTGGGATACTGCTATTTTCGTTTCCTGGATAGCCTACTCGCTGTGCCCAACTAGTGGGTTTGTCTCTTATACTGGTGACCCTATATCGTTCATAGCTCCTTCTGTTTAATCTCTGTGCATAACTATTTCCATTCGGATTAATCCTCACTCTAATTTTTATCGATCAGATTATTCATCTAGCCCTTATTTGCTATTCACACTGTCTCACCCTTTCATCCAATACGAGCGCTACCCTTCAATCTCTCTGTCAACGCGCCAGTCCTCTACCCCATTTATCTGACCTCTGACCGACCCCGGCTAATTATGTCCAGCGATTCTGCCAGCCAGCCGATAGCCGGCATTCACACTTTTGACCTGCCATCCGTGTGGCTCGGTGACATCGCGTTATGGCTGCGCACTGTAGAGTCACGATTCGCCCTCCGTCAGATCACACGAGAGGATACCAAATTTCACTATGTTGTGGCAGCACTCCCAATGGACATCGCCACCGACCTCCGCGACATCATAGATTGCCCGCCCACAGAAGCCCCTTATACTGCCCTAAAGGAGGCCCTCATTTCCCGCATTTCCCTCTCAACGCAAAAACGTCTCCAGCGTTTAATTTCTGAGGAGGACCTCGGTGACAGGAAGCCTACGCAGCTTCTTAGGCGTTTGGAACAGTTGGCAGACGGACAAAAGCTGGATGCCACCATGTTCAAGCAACTTTTCCTCCAACGGTTGCCTCCTTCTGTGCAAGCCATCCTTGCGCCTAACATTCCTTCGTCGACTGTTCAGATGCTAGCGGAGACTGCTGACCGTATACTCGAGTACTACCAGCCTCCTGTTACGGTTAACGTCGCTAGTCGAAGCACAACTGCCCCCACAATCGAGGATGTCGTCAAACGCCTGGATGCCCTCACTCTCGAAGTTCCCCAGCTCCGGGCCACTCGCGTCTATAACCCTCGTAGTCCTGCAATTTCTCGCCGCCCGAGATCTCCAACTCCAAACAAACCTACAGTTGATGGTTTCTGTTGGTATCATCATAATTATGGTTCTAACGCCCATCGCTGCCACTCTCCGTGCAAATATAAAACACCCGCGTCGGAAAACTCCCCTGCCGACCAGTAAGGGCGACGAACGTGGTCGGCACATCCTCTCCCAGTCGCTTACTCCACATCTATGACAGGACTTCCTGTCGTAATTTTCTCGTGGATACTGGTGCGGAGATCAGTCTAATCCCACCCACCTTGACTGACCGTAAGTCACCAAATTCTTCATTTTTCCTCCAAGCAGCTAACAATACTTCTATTAAAACTTTTGGTCAACGATCCCTAACACTAGATTTGGGTCTAAGACGTTCATTTAGTTGGCTATTTACTATCGCTGATGTCCATACCGCCATTCTTGGCGCTGATTTTATATCCTTTTTCGGTCTCCTCGTTGACATTAAGTCCCATAAATTATTTGATCCTAAGGCTTCTTTACATTGTAATTGTTCCACTCGTACCCTTTCATCACCTAATCCACGCATTTCAACAATCCCTTCGTCTACTCCCTATCATCGTTTACTTTCGGAATTTCCATCTATCACACGACCTTCACAATTTAACCAACCTATCAAGCATTCTGTTGTACTTTATATTTCAACTACTGGACCACCCGTGTTTAGCCGTCCCCGTCGTTTAGCCGCCGATAAGTTAGCCATAGCCAAGGCTGAATTCAGTCACATGATGGAGCTAGGCATAGTTAGGCCTTCCACTAGTCCATGGGCTGCACCTCTACATATGGTGTGCAAAAAGTCTCTCGTTGACTGGCGCCCATGCGGGGATTACCGACGGTTAAACACCTCCACTGTGCCTGACAGGTATCCACTTCCCCATCTCCACGACTTTTCATCTAGCCTAGCTGGAGCGACAATATTTTCCAACATTGACTTAGTCAAAGCCTTCCATCAGATACCCGTTGCTCCAGAAGACATTCCCAAAACGGCGATGACAACACCGTTCGGTCTGTTCGAGTTTGTCAGGATGCCTTTTGGACTGCGCAACTCCGCCCAAACTTTTCAACGTTTCATCAACGAAGCCCTCCGCGATCTACCGTTCGTTTTTGTCTACGTCGACGATGTTCTGGTAGCAAGTCCCAGTTAACACGAGCACCTACAACATTTGCGTCTCATTTTTGAACGATTGAGTCAATTGGGCGTTTTCATTAATGTTTCTAATTACGTTTTTGGCGCACAGTCGCTGTTTTTTCTAGGACATCGCGTAGATGCTTCTGGTTGTCACCCCATAGATGCCAAAGTTTCAGCTATTCGCGATTTCCCTACTCCCACTTCTTTTCAACAACTGCGCCGTTTTATAGGCCTTGTCAATTTCTATCGACGTTTCATCCCTCATTGTGCTCAATTAATGCTACCACTTACTAACCTTTTACGCGGAAACAACCGTGAGTTTTCTTTTCCTGACACAGCTGTAGAGGCTTTCAATCGTGCGAGGAAGGCTCTTGCGGATACAACTGTCCTTGTTCATCCTATACCTAATGCCCCACTTTCCATTGTGGCCGACGCCTCTAATTTCGCTATAGGTGCTGCCCTTCAGCAACAGACGCCCACTGGCACCCAGCCCTTGGCTTTCTACTCTGCCAAATTGACACCCCCACAAACTCGCTATAGCACTTTTGGTAGAGAACTTCTTGCAATTTATTTAGCCATTAAGCATTTTCGTAATTATATTGAGGGCCGAGATTTTTGTATTTATACTGACCACAAACCTCTTACTTATGCCCTTTCTACTTCTTCTGACAAGTATTCACCCCGCGAGGCCCGCCATCTCGATTTTATTTCGGTGTATACACGCGTCGCTTGGCAAGCCAAATACTTTATCGGTGTTCAACAGTGGATACCCTCGTCGAAGAATCCCTCGGTCAGTATTCGAATCTCTAAGTCAATGCTAGACAAGGAAACCAGTTCATTAAAAGAAGGGCGTTCATGTCCAAAATGAGTACACAAAAGAAGAAGGAAATGTCGACAACGGCAGCAGGATTGAGGAGGCTTCGAAGAGGGATATTGATAATTGCAAATGATGACCACAAGATATTGCAGCAGGTTTGACAAGAGAAGGCGAAGTAGGCAGCTCAAAATTCCGCTTTACTCTGAATGAACCCACTTGCAAGTCACTGCGTTCATCTTGTGCGGCAGTGATGGAACTCGCTGTCAGAAGCACTCAAACTATCACCCGGCGCATGCGGAAAAGAGAGTGAATGTTACATAAGTGACTACACTGGAGCAAACATGGGACGTAGCCGACCATTTGATCACCATGATAAACCCCACCAAACCTCGACAAGAAGAGACTTCTTTTTGAATTTTGCTCGCAGTATGACATCCATAGCTTCCTTCATCACAACCCAGACAAAATTTAAGTCAGTTTATTACGAGGATGAGGCCTCCGGCCCTAAGTTTCTTACACATATCCAAAAATGGCAATATAATCAATTGTTACACCTGTAATTCTGGTACTTTAAAAGTTATCGTATATGGAAGTCAGGCGCAACCTGCCGACACTGATGCAATCGTGATTATGTGCACAGTAGTTTCTCAGCAAATGAGTGCCTTGTTTGGATTTAAATGATTCAACTGGTGCAGATAGAACCACCGTGTCAGGGAGTCCGTTCCCTGCTTTAATGACCCTCTGCGAGGCGTTCCATCGAACGTCTGTATGGACAAAATCACACTGCTATTTAAAGGGATGACCAAGCAGATGGTCCATTCCATTCTATTCAAAGAAGCCATCAAAGTCTAGGGCACACTCGCGGGTTCTGACAATGCGGTAGGTTTGAATGAGGTCGCCGTGCAGTCGTCTGCTAAAGGCAATAGGAGATCTGAGCTGGCGATTAGGAGAGTTTTTTCGCCAGTTATCTTTGGAATTTGGTCGGTATGTTATCCGGACCCAATGACTAATTCTTTGAGATTCTGCAGCTCTCTTTCCACAGCAGATGCTGAAAAGAATGCAGATTCAAGCAGGGGACCACCAGTTACAACTGCATTGCTGATACTGTGACTCTGAAACTCCTTTTCCACAGTGATTGCCGAGACAATGAACCGGCCCATGTGTTCGAATTTCTAGCCGTTTTCAACAACTTCGTTAGCATTATCATTCTTCAGTACTGCAACTGGGCCCTTGTTTTCCAATCGATTGTTAACATGGTAAAATAGAATCTCGGACTTTTGTTAAGCCTGATAGATAATTATGGATACTTAATCCTTCCCTGCCTGCTGGATGCATTTTGAGCTCATCTCGTTGAAGACACAACTTCTTGAGGTGTAATGGTGTCCAGCCTCCCTGAATAGCTTTCATTCTTCGTTTTTATGTCTTAAACATATTTTGGGGTCTCTAGTTAATCAAGCGGATTAACTCGGTGTGTTTTTAAACCTTTACTAGTCGACCCAGGGCAGAGCGACGAGACGCGGGCGTCGCCTTCGCCATTCGGAACGACATCGTGGGACGACTGCCCTGTTTGCCGCAGGGCATCAACGATCGCCTGATGAGCCTCCGCCTGCCTCTCCGGCGAGGAGGCAAGTTCGCCACCATCATCAGCGCCTACGTTCCGACGATGACCAACCCCGACGCCGTCAGAGACAAATTCTACGAGGACCTGCACGCCCTCTTGGCGACTGTGTCGAAGGCGGACAAGTTGATTGTCCTTGGCGACCTCAACGCCCGCGTCGGCACAGACCATACTGCCTGGAGAGGAGTGCTGGGTCCCCACGGTCTCCGCGGCTCAAACGAAAATGGTCTGCTGCTTCTCCGCACCTGCGCAGAACACCGCCTTATCCTGACAAACACGTTCTTCTGTCTGCCGGAGCGAGAGAAGGCCACCTGGAGGCATCCTCGGTCGCGCCAGTGGCACCTGCTGGACTATGTCCTCGTCC